ATACTGAGACAAGAGAGGTCTGAGTCTACATGTATACTGAGACAAGAGAGGTCTGAGTCTGCATGTATACTGAGACAAGAGAAGTCTGAGTCTGCATGTATACTGAGACTAGAGAGGTCTGAGTCTGCATGTATACTGAGACTAGAGAGGTCTGAGTCTGCATGTATACTGAGACTAGAGAGGTCTGAGTCTGCATATAAAAGCAGTGGTGGATATAGACTAGTTCCAGAGCGGTTCAAGTCCCGGGCTTCTGTGGGTCACATTGGTCCTGGCTTAGGTCCAGGTCCCGCAGCAGATGGAGCCTCAGCAGGACTCAGCGGTCAGGGCTAAGTGACTTTTACACTGCCTGCTTTAGATATCTGCACACAGTCTATTTGGAAGAATACACACAACATGAGGTGAAGACAGATGCCGTCTGATCGTCAGTGTGTGCATCCTCTAAAGGACAGATTACGCACTGAACAATATTCCTCATCAAAGAGAAACTTGAGGTGGATTTTAGCTGCGTCCACGCTAAACATTTTTTATCTGTTTCTGCTATAGTTTCTTTCTGCATTTTAAAACTTAAAATAATGCATTTATTTTTTTTTTTTTTGCTGAACACCTTTGCCCTACCATGTGTTTTAGGACATTATGTAATCCTTGGTCTTTCATTTGTCTTTTGTAACTCTGTTTATTGCAATTAAATGTCCTCCTTTCTATATATTTGGTTCATGCCTAAAACAGTTGATAAAAGCTTTGTACCTTTGCCTGTTCTTCTACATTATGTTTCCTTTTTGGATTGACATAAAACATCACATGGTCACTAAGTTTGATGTTTTTCAGAAATCCATGGTCTCATAGAAAGACTGGAAAACTGGATTGGGAAAGGCAGGACTTCGAAGCTCAATTATGCTTCTTCAGGCTTTGATAAAATTTACATCCGAATTGAAATCTAGTTCTGATAACGTCGTCCTCTACATTAATCACATGTTCAGATTAGATAATTACCAGATTACCCATCCATTTCCCACTTATATTATTCACTCTCTAAAACAGATTTTTTTTTTTTAATGGCCACTTTTCTATTCTACATAAATATATCCTGCACAGACTATATTTTTAATAGAGCCGGGACTTTAACGTGTTAATTACGATTAATTAACGCCACAAAAATTAGTGGAATGTGTTTTTCCACCGACGAAACCTCTCTGTGTGTGTGAGGAGGAGGAGCAAGCAACTCCTCAGAGAAGGAGGTGGAGGAGGAGGAGGAGGCGGAGGAGGAGCAGCTATGGCAGCGACACAGGTGTGTGAGCTGCTATTGCTGATGTTTTAGTTCAAATGCACACATCAAAAACGTATTATAAGATTTAGTGCTCACTGTTAGTGCAGTGGATTTTGGTTATAAAAAGCGTATGTTGTGGACAGAGTGTGGAGGCGATGACAGATACGTTATTTGACGGAAAGAAGTCCGTCTGATCCCCTTATCATCCTCAATGAACATGTGTTGTTTAAGCTCATGTATTCAGTCATTATTCAATGATAAACTAAAACTCCATGTGAAAAAGAAAATACTTCTTACTGTTCTCAGGACAAATATTTATATGCGATTAATTAATCACAAAACCTCTAATTAATTAGATTTAAAAAATTTATCGAGTCCCAGCCCTAATTTTAAACCTCTTTTGCACAATCAGAGTCATTCTATTTGTTCCAAATGTGACATGTACATTTCTCCAGTGTGAGATCAATAAAGTCTATCTTATCTTCATTCAATCATTCATTTCAACCCCTTAATTAGTCCATTTCTGGGTCGGGGGGGTGGCGATGAGAGCTGCCACCCCCTGCTCATAGCACCAGTCCCTCGCTGCTCCTCTGCAGGTGGTGGGTCCACGGGAAGATGGCTTCTTGATGCAGCCTTGTTCTTTCAGCGGGGGCTTCAGGCAACATGGGGTGAAGTGTCTTGCCCAAGGACACAACGACAGTAGACATTTGTAGGAGCAGATGTAGTAGGTCCCACCATGGGACCTACTACAAAGGCCAATGGGGTTTGGGTTTGGTAGATCCTCTTCCTCACATACTCGTAGTTCTGCTTGTTGTTCAGAACGACCAGACGCTTTCCTCTTCCGGCAGGAAAAGAAAGCTCAGTTGGTAGGCCAATGCACCACCAACTGAGCGCTCAGAAGTCTGCGAGACTAAACACTAGGCTTAAGAAGAAAAAAATATCTTATCTTATTCTCAAGATCCTGTCTAAGTGCTAAATAATACTGACTATGTCCTTGAAAACAGGCAGAAGAATGTGTGATGTTGTGTATTGAACGCATCACTAAAGACAGCGGCGCTCATTCTGTATCATTCCAAACCCACGGACACTATTTATATTGAACACATGGAGACTGGCAGGAGCGAGAGAATATTTACATTTGTAAGTGACCGTCAGAGTTGAAAAAAACTGCGTTCTCTGACCTCTGTGTGTCTCCGGAGGAATCCTACGGGCCCTGAACGCAGCGTGGAAGCAGGGCCTGTGTCCGCCAGCGAAGGACGAGGCCTGTCCATTAAATAAGAGCGGTCCTCAGGGTGAGAGCCGGATGTATATGTTCTGTTTACTAAAGATTAGAGCGAGAGGACAGAGGAGGGGGGGATTAAAGGAGACGTAATGCAGAGGGAGTAACTTACTAATTACAGTACTATGATTTTAATTGTTTTGTTTGAACAGCATGTTACAATATGCACCTTACTTATTTCACGTTCTTTTTGTTTTTTAAGCACAAACGTATACGTGTGTTGAGCCAAGTTGATCTGCGAGCCTGGAACTAGTGACATGGATTTTATGGCATACATTATTTGTTGTGGTTTGAAATGTAGCCTCACTAGGTACCCCCGCTTTGAGGTTACATCCACATTCTCAAATTTGGAGAAAATGTCATTTATTTTTAAGAAGATCATCACACCTTTAGATCCATACAAATTGAATTTATTTGATATAGTGACATCAAGGTCAAGGCACAAAAAAGGATACACACTTTTAAATGCTCCTACCTCTACTTTATTTTACTACTTATTTTGACAACTTAACTGTTTGTGTCCCGGTATCATGTGTATAATGTGTGCCTGTGGTATGTTTTGGACACTCAGACGCTTCACATGTCTTTATTCATTCACTCAGGTGGTGATAAACTACTACTGTAGTAGTAGCTGCCCTGGGGCACACTGACAGAAGCAAGGCAACCAGTATGTGCCATCGGCCCCTCCGACACAGCAGACTCATTCTAGGCAATGTGGGTGAAGTGTCTTGCCTAAGGACACAACAGCAATTTGGCATTTTACAGCCGCCCCACTGTGGCTGGTGTTCCCAGAGGTTAAGTGTCTTACCCAAGGACACAACGACAGCAGACAGTGGGAGTCAATGGTGAAGGTCGGGCTCGAACCCACGACCCTCTGGCTCAAAAACCAATGCTCCACCAACTGAGCCACTGTCACCCTGTGGTGTGTGTCAGTTGAAGAGTGCAGTCTTCTGGAGAAGTCTTCTGTCAATGATTTCCCGTGTGTGTGTGTGTGTGTGCATGTGTGTGTGTGTGTGTGTGTGTGTGTGTGTGTCAATTGCAGACAAAGAGCAGTCTCTTGGAGCAGTCCTCTGTCAATCCTGTACAAGCCCCGGTGATCCTATTCAAATCAATGGCTGGTGCTCAGTGGCACATTTGCCACCACGAGGACCGAATGATTAGCGGAACTCGCCCATATTTGGCCATTGTCTGGTCCTCCCGGTTCTGCGCAGTGTACGAGCTCCCATGATGCGTTGCGCCAAATACGTGTGTCTGACCAATCAGAGCTGCTGATCGGAGCAGAGCTCGAGTGGAAAACTGAAGGATTTAAAGCCTAGCGTATACTCGTGCGGCGCTGGTTACGGTTACGGTTGCATTGGACCTACGTAGCCATAGTGGCTTATCCACTCGCGCGTTCCCCTTGTGGCGTTTTGAAGAGAATGTTGAAATCCCACAACCAACCACGTGATGGCGTGGTTGGCTGCTACTTTCTCCTCTTCAGAACAAAAACATGAACAAACCGAGCTGTTTGAGCGTTACATGTGTTTCTACTGTAGGTTTATGTGATAGTTCTATGGACTCATTATTTCATAACTCATTTTACTGTGAGGTTTTAAAAACCGCAACAACAGTTCTTGTTGGAAACATAGTTATTATTAAAGTGTATTCAGCACAAACAGAAAAACAATAAGGGGTAAATATCTGAGACCAAATATTAACTATTTAAAGTGCAGGAGAAATGTAACAGACGCGATAAGCTACAAGTGCAGACAGGAACAGTGCAAAAGAAACGACTGCACAGTTTATAAGTTATGTATATGTTGGATGTACAACAGAATTCCAGTCCACGGGCTCCACGTATATCAGGTATCACGTACAAACTGCTTTTCCTTCGGTTCCTTCGGAGTGCAAAGCTATCTGCTCCGAAGTGCCTTGTTCATGCTCCCTGCAGCCGCACCATGCTTCCCAGAAACGGACCAATCACAGTGGAGCTTCTCTGCAACGCCAGCCGTGTAGTTAGACATTTTTGAGGGTGTGCCTTGCAAGTGACGTCACGTCACCACCGTAAACTCCGCTCGACTATACACTAAGCTTAAGAAGAAAAAAAGTCCAGGATGACAAGGCACACTAAAATCCCCACAAAATCCGACCTTAGTGAAGGCTGTAGGTTCTCTGTCAGGTTCTCTGTCAGCTGAGGTCGAGCTGTTTTAGTTTAGAATTGAGTTCTATGGGGAAAAGGTCTGGGTAGCCCACGTGAATTTAGTCTGGTTTAGTCTGCAGTACCGTGAGAATCTCCAGAGCACATGGGTCCTTCAGCTCCAAGCTCGTAACACCCTAACCAGTTATTATAATAGATCCATGGTCCTATAGTGTTGTTCTGTTTGGAGATGGTCCCACAGGCAGTGTGTGTGTGTGTGTGTGCGTGTACGTGTATGTGTGTGTGTATATGTATGTGTGTGGGAGTGTGTTGTGTGTGTATTAATTGCAGACAAAGTTCAGTCTCCTGGAGCAGTCCTGTGTCAGTCCCATTGTGTTGTCCCGTTTGGAGAGGGTCCCACAGGCTTCATACTGCTCTGGGCACTGGGGGTACAGCTGCTCCTGCACCGGGGAACCATCCACCCACCACCACCGGCCGGCCAGAAAACGCACACCCACCCACACCTGCAACACAACATCACACACAAAACACAAGTAAGTAAGTAAGTAATCTTTATTTATATACCACCTTTTCACTGCAGATCAGAGTCTCAAAGCGGTTTACAATTGTTATTTTTGGGCGGGGGCGCCAGTACAGGAGGTGCATGCCAGATCAATTGTGTATGTTTTTAATGGTAGGGCAAACCGGACTACCCAGAGGAAACCTACACAGACACGGGGAGAACATGCAAACTCCACTCAGAAAGGCCCTGGTCCGACCGGGATTCAAACCCAGAACGTTCTTGCTGAGAGGCAAGAGTGCCATCCACTCTTTTGTGAGTTTTTCCTTGCGGATGCAGGAGGGTCTGTTGGACAGTTAGTGTCCAACTAGAAGGACTGCAGTGATGATCCAGGACACTTTATGATTTTGGACATTTATCAACATTCATGGACATTGGTTTCTCCCTATGAACCAATTCATATGTGTATATTTTGTGTCTTAACTGTTGATTCTCTATCTGTGTTGGTGATTTTGTTTTGTTAAGTCCCTGAGATGACTTCTGTTGTGATTTGGTGCTATACAAGAATAAGTTGTTGTTGTAATACAACCAGGTGATTATTGTCTTTGTTTCGGGTGTGTCATGTTGTGCGTGGGTTTAGGCTTGTAGATCCTCTTCCTCACCTGGTCAGTTTGGGTTTGGTAGATCCTCTTCCTCACATACTGGTAGTCCTGCATGTTGTTCAGAACGACCAGACGCTTTCCTCTCCCGGCGCAGTGCTGCAGAGCCTCCTCCCAGCTCTTCCTCTCAGTTACCACCTCTAGATTGTCGTTGTGACAGGCCACCCGCAGGGGGCGCTCACAGGGGAAGCTCTTCCACTTCTGCTGCTCCACACTGAAGGCCCCGCAGTCAGACGTCACTGGCTCACCGGGGCCCCACGCCTATAAAACACATTAAAGGAGTGATATAATACATATTATTGTACCACAGTAAGATTGGAATGTTGTTTAAGTTATCATTTTAATAAGTCATATGTGGCTAAAATATATTGTATACTGAAATGGTTGTAATGTAATTCACCTTGTGCTCTGTTGGTTTCTTGTCCTATATGCATATGATGAAGGTGTGTCTTTACTTCTAAGGCGCAGCCTAAGGCTACGGTCACATGCGCAGCCTAAAGCCCAGTTAGGGTTAAAGACTTCGGCCAGGGCCCGCTTCCCAGCGCAGATGAGGGGGGTCAGTGTCGCGGGTGGTGGGGAGTGGGGGCATTGGGTGTGGTGGGGACTTGATAATGTGCGTCACATTACGTCTTCCTGTGACATACATTATCACACTCTCTCCCTGCACTTTCGTATTCTCCGCTTGTGTTAAACCTTTCATATAAGCCCCGGACCGTGCTGGAGGGGTGCTGGGGGAGTGTCACTCTGCAGGGCCAAAGAAAAGCGTTTCCTACGGGTATAGCTCTCTTCTGTCCTGGCCCTCGCTCTCAGGGTGGTGCTATTGCAATAACACTTCAGACATTCAAGAATCATCCATCCATCTTCTACCCTTTAATCCATTTCTGGGTCAGGGGGGTGGCAGTCAGAGACTTTATGGCGGCACGGTGGCTGAGTGGATAGCACTCTCGCCTCTCAGCAAGAAGGTCCTGGGTTCGAATCCCGGCCGGACCAGGGCCTTTCTGAGTGGAGTTTGCATGTTCTCCCCGTGTCTGCGTAGGTTTCCTCCGGGTACTCCGGTTTCCCCTACCACTAAAAATATGTACAATAAATAGGTCTGGCATGCGCCTCCTGTTCGGCGACCCCGCTCCCATCTCTGTGTGGAGTGAGAGGACAAGTGCCCAAAAAATAACAATTGTAAACCGCTTTGTGACTCTGGTCTGTGAAAGGCGGTATATAAATAAAGCTAAAATAAAAAAAAAAATGCCACTCAAGTCTCATAGCACCAGCCCCTCACTGACCCTCTGCAGGTGGTGAGTCCACAGGAGGACGGCTGCTCTCTGACTGTGAGCATAGCCTTGATCTCACAGTGGGGGCTTTGGGCAAAGTGGGGTTAAGTGTCTTGCCCAAGGACACAACGACAGCAGTCATCAGTGGGAGTCGATGGAGAAGGTGCAGAGGTGGGAATTGAGCCCACGACCTCCACCTCTACCAACTGAGCTATTGTCGCCTCATTCAAGAATCAGTCTTTATTTAATCACCAGAACACACACAAACACACACTTGTAACCTCCCTGTCTGCGGTCGCTCAGCTCATACCCCACACTTTTCATTTCTTCATTCTCATTCATTCATTTCTCAGCGCATTACGCTCGGTGTGTGTGTGTGTATCCGCGGCGCGCGCACAAACACACACGTGTGCATTCACGTTACCCGCACGTTACCCAATGAACTGCAATTTGGACAAGTGTGAGATGTATCTTTCCCTAAACAACGTGATCCGTACTGAGCTGTTAGCTGCTGTAGCTGTAGCTGCTAGCTGCAGTAGCAGAATGTAAACAGGAAAAGAAGCGGACCTCAACCAGGGCAACGAGGTAGTCTCTGGTGTTAGTATTAGCGCCACCAGCTGGACTGAGTGTTGAACTACAGCACAATTTCCCTGGCACGGTTCAGACAATACGTTCATGTGACCGCGGGCCGTTTTCACACCCCTGTGGCGACGATCTGACCACGGCAACTGGGCTTGGGCACGCTTTCTGAAAGTGGGCCCCAGTGCGGGCACGGTCACATAGGTTTTTACAAGCGAACTAGGCCAAGTTGCCTGGATTCTCACCACAGGGGTGTGAAAACGGCCCACGGTCATATGAACGTGTCCTCTGAAGCGTACTAGCGCAACTTTGCTCTAGTACGACGCCCGGTCCAGCTGGTGGCGCTAATAATAACTCCAAGTTGAGTTTCCGCTTCTTTTCCTGTTTTCATTCGGCTACTGCAGCTAGCAGGCTCGAGCATGCAATGCGTTGTTTGCATCAGAGCAACGTGAACAAGTGTGAGATGTCTTTAAAATAGATCCATGGTCTTTCCCAAAAATGCAGCGGTGGGACACGTGTGTGTTGTCTGTGTGTGTGCGGGCGCGCCGAAGACACAGGAGTGCGCCTTTATAATGAACAGCGACTGGAGCCGAAGGATATAAGTGTGTTGGCGATTAAATAAAGACTGATTCTTGAATGTCTGAAGTGTTATTGCAATAGAACCACACTGTGAAACGCTGTTCTTTGGCCCTAGAGTGACACACCCTCCACCGCGGTCCGGGGCTTATATAAAAGGTTTAACACAAGCGGAGAATACAAAAGTGCAGGGAGAGTCAGAGGAAGACGTAATGTGACGCACAATATCACGTCCCCACCACACCTCATTCCCCGCTCCCCACCACCCGCAATAGTGACCCCCCTCATCCGCGCTAGAAAGCGAGCCATAGCCCAAGTCTTCATCCGCGCTGGGGCCCACTTGCAGAAAGTGGGCCCAAGCCCAGTTGCCGTGGTCACATGGCACCTAAAGCCCGGATCATATCACGAAGCGGAAACAGGCAGAGCTCTCGTCTGCTCTGTTTATGTGAAAATACTTTTCTTTGGAAGGCAACCAAGTAATAAAAAAAATGCCAGAACAATGTCTTTTTGTGTGTGATTTTGTCCAGGTTCGACTTTAGTTAAATAACAATTGATAATTCCTCTCTAGTATTTTGGAGAAGACCTCTCAGAGGAGATTGGAATCCTTCTGAAGAAACCACCACACTGTTCTGCGACCCCAAAGGTACTGTCTCCGCCTGCCACGCACTGTTGCAGCTCGTCATGTGAAACCAAGACTGTCCCATTCATGAGACTATGGGGGCCACTCCGGGGGCCACTCCGGTGGAGATGAAAGGGAACAGACTTTTTGCAGCTTTTGTTAATATCACAGTTATTTCCTGTGTTATTCACACACACTGGTGTTTGAGTTCCCCTATGTCCTCTCACACCTGAGTCCTGGTTGTGCCCGTGCAGTTCCGTACCGTGTAGCTGAGGTTGTGTCGTTCGGCCCAGGCCCAGGTGTCCCCCCCCACCCTGTAGAGCCCGACCCACCCCTCCTTCTTGCCCTCGATGTCCTGAGCCTCCAGGTCAGTGTGGGGGCTGCTGAGGGTGCGGGAGTCCCTCTGGCAGTAGTCCCGAGCCTCTTCCCAAGACATATTCAACTCCACATACTCGTGCTGGCTGTTGTTGTTGGAGCAGTAAAAAAACCGACGCTCAGAGCACCTCCGACTGTACCAGGTGGAGTCTTTGATAGAAGCGCAGTGTCCGCCTGAGCCCTCCTCGGTCCAGGACAGGCTGGAGGAGACGTCCTCTGTGCCCGCTGCTATTCTATAAAATAGAACAAAACATTTCATAAGAATAGACGGAGACATTATGGGAATTGTCTTTTCTGAGTATGTAAGTAAGTAAGTAAGTAAGTTTTTATTTATATACCGCCTTTTCACTGCAGGTCTGAGTCTCAAAGCGGTTTACAATTGTTAATTTTGGGCATTAGTCTCTCACTCCACACAGAGATGGGAGCAGGGCCAGTACAGGAGGCGCATGCTAGAACTATTGGACATGTTTTTAGTGGTAGGGGAAACCGGAGTACCCGGAGGAAACCTACGCAGACACGGGGAGAACATGCAAACTCCACTCAGAAAGGCCCTGGTCCGACCGGGATTCGAACCCAGGACCTTCTTGCTGAGAGGCGAGAGTGCTATCCACTCAGCCACCGTGCCGCCCGTGCCGTACGCCCGTGCCGTATGTGGAATCAAACCTAGCCTGGTCTTATCACACCATCGTACAAATTTTATTTCATACTGAGGTCTGGATTTGCTCCATTGAGCTCTGTTAACAGATAGGAGGGGTTAACTCCTTTTGCAGACTGAAACGATTGGATCTGAGTTTTCCGTGACGTATGTAATGTGCCTAAGTGAGACACGGCATTTAGCATTTAACCTAGCTTTAGCTTTTAGCCTAACTTTAGCCATCTTCTTTGCCACTAACGGAGCCCGTGGGGAGTAGAGCCACAACATCTTTGCTAGAAATGAAATTTACTAAACATTCCTCTTCTTTCGGCTTCAATTTCTTGATATTTGTAGGCGAACCGGAAGAGATTACTTTACTATCACATTCTCCTCCAAGCTACAACCAGAAATTTCGCCGCACACCCTTGACGTCACAGATACCTGCCTACAATACCCGCCTCCCCCGCTCTCTGATTGGTCGGAGGGGATTTAACCGAGGAAACTGCAGCCACGAGAATCGAACCCAAATATACATGTAGGAAAATGATAATTGACCAGAGTTTACGGATGGCTAAGGCCAGGCTACATCCAACCTGGAGTGTTGTTTAGCTCCACCCACACTAATAAATGTTATTCTTCTTCATCTTATTATCTATGGATCCTGTGCCTACATATGAGTCCTTGAAATAGAAAATAAATACATAATTAAATATTCAATGAAATGCCAACTTATATATTCTCAGGTTCATGTTTAATAGCCAAAATGGACAGACAAAAATGCATTTTTTTGTTTTTTATGAAGAATATACATTTTTGGATATTTATCAACCATTATGGACATTGGTCATCTGCCCCTTATGGACCAATGTGTTTTTTTTTCATTGCATTTCCTGTGTTTGAACGGCTTGATTCTCTGATTTATGTTGACGAATTGACAGTTTTGTAAAGTCCTCCAAGATAACTATTGTTGTGATTTTGGGCTATGTTTGCTCATGGTAATCACAGTCTCCCTCGTCCCCGTGCCTGGTGCGCTTACATAGTATTGTCCCAGAACCAGGCTGAGTCGTTGAGCGTGTCTCTCCGCAGACTAGTCCACACCATTCCCAGGTCTCCAGTGCAGAAAGAGAGCCCGGGCAGGCTGACCAGGTCCAGGCTGAGCAGGTCCGTGCCATTTGATCTATGACACAGCGTCTGTGCCGTTGACCAGTTGAAGTCACGCTCAAGGAAACTGTGCAAAGACATGGGAGATATAGCCACAATAGTGATTTTACATAATAACATTGTAGTATCCATCCATCCATTTTCTTCCCTTTAATCCATTTCTGGGTCGGGGGGTGGCAGTCAGAGCACCAGGCCCTCACTCCTCCTGCAGGTGGTGAGTCCACAGGAGGATGGCTGCTCAGTCTGTGAGAGCATAGCCTTGATCTTTCAGCGGGGGCTTCAGGCAAAGTGGGGTTAAGTGTCTTGCCCAAGGACACAATGACAGCAGACATAAGTGGGAGTCGATGGAGAAGGTCTCGTGGTGGGATCAAACCCATGACCTACAGGCTTAAAGGCCAATGCTCTACCAACTGAGCCTTTGTCACCATTGTAATATGGAGATTAAAAAAACATTTAAATCCTTTCAATCAGGTTTTGGGTAGACCTTTGAACACATTGAACACCATTGAACACAACAAATTTGAAAGATGTGGCCATTCTCAAGGTTTACATGTATGATGCATTGTAACACTGTAAAGCAACAGGTAACATATGGAAATAGCATTCTCTCTTAAATGAATGTTCATTTTCATACTGAATTTTCCAACACTCACAACGGTATGACCCATGCTCAACCACGCAGGTTCTGTTTGGACAAAATTAATATACTCGCTATTGATCAAAGGGTTATCCTTCAGAAAATTGTTCTGGTGGTTATGCCAAGAGGAGGAGCTATATCATCTTTTTCAGCACTCCCCTAACATGATACAGGGTGAATGAGTGTGTGTTTGTGAGTGCAATCTTGGGACGGCAGATGCAAATTTAAGCCTGAATCTCGCCAGACCCTTGTAGTTCCGCCATGCTCCACCAGAGGCGTTTGGCTGAACACAAGAGTCTGGGATTGAGGCCAATACAAACTCCTTCAGGAGATCAAAAAATAATCAGCAAATCAGGATCACCGGTGTAACGTTGGGTTTGCACCGCCTTCTCAAGCGTGTCTCACGGCAGCCAAAGCAAACCAAGATGGCAGACATAAAGTCTGTGATAATTTTTTTTTTTTTTTTAAATACGAACAAAGTAAGACACGGATGTCACTTTTAACACAATGTAAGGTAAGATGTTGATGGTTCCATGTTGTTATATGTGTGTTTTAAGAGTCAAATGTTTGTGTAAAGTTTAAGTACTGGTTTAAGTGTTCCTGTTACAACACTAGGCAGCAGGGTTGCCAGGTTGGGTGGTTTCCCGCATACTTTTGTTCCAAGCGACTTGTAGGTAATAAATAAACAAACAAAAAGACAATAAAAAGAATCATTAAACAAGTTGATTGCATTATTATTGCAAACATTATTCTGGGTGTTTTTGTTTTGGGCATTCTCGTGGGTTTTGGGCTGGAAATTCTTACCGGCATTTGGCAACCATGCAACGCAGTGCGGAGTTGTGTGCTGAATTGTGCGTGGTTGAAGGAACACGTCATTTAAGATAACAGACAAGTGGTTTATCCAATCACATACAAGGATTTTTTTACAAGGCCCCGCCTTCTGAAATTTATCCACTATGAAGCAGACCCAGACCCTCGTGTGAAGCTCAGTGAACTACAAGGGTCTGGTGAGAGTCAGGTTACGCAAATTAGCCCAAGGCAACAAACCCGGGAGGTGTGTTCATTAACATGCACTGTCCCAACAAAATAAATAATAATAAAAAATAAAAAAATGATACTACTGGGTCAGAAAACAAAAAGACATTTGAAGCAGCCTGTGTACCGTAGAATAAGATTTGCATAGAAACACAATAATTAGGGCCGGGACTTTAATGCTAAGTTAAGATTAATTTATTACTCAAAAATGTGCGTGTTAAAAAAATTGACGCATTTTTATCATATTCATTTTTACTCCGCGGAACCTTTCTCACTGGATGAGTTTTAGGCCATGTCCACACGTAGCCAGGTATTTTTAAAACCCAATATATTCCCCCTTTCGTTTATGAAATAATTTACATCCAAACATTTGCATTTTCAATCACATTCATAACATTCCAAACATGTGCATCCTCTGACGTCCTGCGTTGGGGAATAACACCAAAGTGGGCGGAGCTTTGATGCAGACGCCAGTACTTCTGTAGCTGCACTTTTACATTCACAGTAGAAACTCAGGGTGAGGACAAATAATTATAGATCCATGTTGAAGACATATGTTCATAAGCACTGACCCCCGTCCTCAGCCCTCAATCATGGTTTAGTCTTGGTTTAGCTCCTGTTTGGGTTGTTTTTGAGCGTGAGTCCCCGTGATCACTTTGCTGCTCACTGATGTGGAGTGAGGATGTTCACTCCTGCGAGCAGTTCTTAAGACAATTTTTAAGGCAGTAAGATCCTTCTTCAGTGATCAGAGGTCGCAGGTTTTGTTTGTTGTTGTTTTGGGGGAATACTGTGACGTGTGAAAACACAAAACTCCGGTTATCTCTGTCTACACGCAAATGCATCAACAGAGTTTTCAAAAATCTTCACTTTGCCCAGAGTTTTTTATATATTAGTTTGTGATGCGTTGTCATGTGGATGACAGGTGCAAACAAAGACAAATATCTGCGGTTTAGCAGAGACCCGGCTACGTGTGGACAGGCCTCAGACCATAGACTGTAAAAATAATGGAAGTAGTCACTCCTATCTCCGCCGTTCTAACTAATGGGCCAAAAATAGTGCTCTACCGGAGCTATCCAAAATGGCCGCAAGTGGTCCCGCCCACAAAGAAAATTGTGAAAAACACATCTGCGCATGCGTCAGCCGGCGCAGCTCCATTCATCGAAACGAGAGACTTCAAAAATTCCCAGCGACTAAACTAGACTGCTCCAAAAAAATTCACCCCCCTCAGCATTGACACACATGTGGACTGGAGCTTTGGGCCAAAAGCCAACTTTTGGTCCATCCTGTAAAGACGTTTTGGAGAGGTCTGCCAACGCTATATGTTAGCATTGGCTAATTCTTATTCTGGGTCCACCCCCATCGGCCCGGGGTGGTATTGCAAGCATGTCAGCGCCCGTCATTTTGGCCACTTTTGAGCTGGGACCCGCCCCCACTGGCTCAGATGGACCAATTGTACCGGAGCACCAACTAACGCGCATGAATTGGGTTCAGACAACAACAAACGCAGAGGCACAGTGAACATGGACAAAGAACTGGACAAAGAAGCTCATGTGACAGCGTTGGTTGGCCCCGTGGATGGGAAAAAAATTACTCCTCACTGTTCTCAGGTCCAATATTTATATGAAATTATTAATTAAATAATTAATTACAAAGCCTCTAACTAATTCGATTTTTTTTTTTTTATCGAGCCCCAGCACTAATAAAAATAATGATATATTTTATTTCTTAGGTGCTTTCTAGATACCCAAGGTCGCCTTCCAGGAGAGAGCCTGCCTCCAGCATGAGGCAGAGCTAACACAACAATGAGACTTGACCTAATAAAAAGCACAATACTTCTCCTGGACAGTGCTGTTCTGAGACATCTTTAAGGAACTATTATTATTATTATTATTATACTGTATTAAGGACACACAATTCCATATTCTCCAGGTGGATTATTTCTTAAAAACCAGTGCGGCGTTTCGAACCTGACAGTCTTCAAGTAGTCACAGTGGTCACATTATGTGTCTCTGGTCTTAAAAAAATAATCAGCTTCTATCAGAGGACCCAATGAACCTCGTTGTACATCTTTAGGAAAGTGAAAATCACCCACCACACTTCTCTGTTTGAGAAGAAATGCACAAGCAAGCGGCCGTAGCAAGATACAGGTTTACAATGCAGTAAAAATAGTATGTATTTTAGACGTAATGTGACTTTAAAAATTGCTTCAATTAAAAGTAAAAGTCTGTAAGTTTGTTCTTTTATGTACCCCCTGGTCCGGACAGACTTGGCTTACCTGCAAGCGGTGAGGGATTGGCTGACCACCGCAGGGGTCAGCAGCAGCAGCACTAACAGCCTCCCGTGCATCGTGGAGTGTGTCCCGCTCTGTCCCCACACCGCACTTATACACGCACCTGACCACACCCCTCCCCGGAGCTGATGCCGATTTGCTTACACTGCAGAGTCCAACTTAAAGAGGACCTTATACACCCCATTTTCTCTGTGATTAGTTTCACCCTAGCCCTAAATCTCTAACCCAAACAACTATGTGATCTGAAAATAAAAGCCACTTGGAGCAACAAAACTGTGCAGATTTTTATCCTTTCTCATAATGTCTACTTATTTGAATCCAGCACGCTAGATCAAGCCATTGGGATGTGCGGCCTTACCTCAAAACTTGAAACATTTTGGTCCCACAAGGATCTGTGCTTGACCCTTTTCTTTAATAATATCTACACATCTGACTTCCACTTCTCTTCAGACACCAGTCACATCCAGAAATACTCTGAATATACAAGTGTTTTAACCTGGGTGTGGAGTATAGTGACTTAATCCCATAATTCTTTGACCGAAGCACCAGGAATTCCCTTGTTTTGAGCACCGGTAAAACAAAATATAACAATACAAATGTCAACAAAAACCGAACACTCTTTCCTTATTTTAACATCAATGAAAATGACACACACTCACACGTACAAATACCTAAGTTATTTATTTTTTGTCATTTCTTGTCTTATAATGGCTGCACGATGGTTGAGTGGATAGCGCTCTCGCCACTCAGCAAGACGGTTGTGGGTTTTAATCCCGGTCGGAACAGGGCCTTTCTGAGTGGAGTTTGCATGTTCATCCCGTGTCTGCGTAGGTATCCTCCGGGTGCTCCGGTTTCCCCTACCACTAAAAACATGCACAATAGGTATGAATGTAAATGAGAGAGTGAATGAATGGTGTTGATTGGAGCTGATGGTCCAGTGTGTTCTGGACTCGCTTCCGTCATCACCGTGTGTGGAATGATTGGAACAATATCTGACTCTGAACATTGTGAAGCGCTTTGGGTGACCTTGGTCTGTAAAATGCGCTATATAAATAAACATTACACTCTTAACCCGAATTAGTTGACTTTACTAGAACGTTGCTTGTAAACCCGTTGCCTCAAAATCTTTAGTTTTTGCACAACGCTAAAACAAAAAAATCTTAGTTTTATGAAGGAAACTCCTTGAGTGGCCTTAACTAAAATGTTTTAGTTCATTTTAATGTTTACCTAGTAGAATAAAGTTATAATTTTAAGCTTAATTGATTAAAAAAAATTTTTTTAAACTACTCATTATGGTTTGTTCATCCTACTAATATCTTTTAGTTCATCCTACTAATATATGTTGATGCAGTTCACTAAACACTAAATAACAGAAGGAGAAATCAAGAATAAGTGCTTTTAATTGGCCAATCTTTCATATAACAACAGAAACACCTGAAGTTCTCTTCTCTATCAACTTCAACAATGGAACAAAACATTTGTACAACACTGTAGAACATTTGGCACTTGAAGCGCTACAGATAAACAGGATAGAGTGAGTGAAACGGGTACAAAAGCTTACAGGCCCGGCTACATTCTTTTCACCCTGCGGGGAATGATCTCCCATTTTGAGATCAGGCTATACAATTATGAACAGCCTCTGCAAACTATTAATTGAACACACATTTGCAGACCTGTATATACAGTCACCCACAAAATAAGTCACACGCACACACACACAACCTCGACAGATACACCCAGACACATTTACATCACAAGCTGGTTTTTGAGTGACTGCAACTTAGGTTTAAGTTCGTTGTGACCAAGTTCCAGGAGGACCTGTTGGATGAATTGGAACGTTGCTTTCATGGACTTGGGGTAGTTCAGATGTAGAGCATAGGAAAGACCAAAGAGAAGGCACATAGCTTTCGGTAAGTCCTCTATTTTGTCCATCACCACTTGCTCCTCAATGATGATTTTTAGCGAGGCGGGATTGAGATGAGAAGAGTTGGGTACAGTCCCTTCCGGTTCCACAAGAAGGATGCCAATGTCGATATTGCAGAGGGAGTCATTGTCAGAGTCCTTAACAGATTAAGAGCAGAAGAAGACTCATGACTATCAATAACTTAATGTCCACACAATCAATTACAATACAATTAATCCTCTACCCACGCTTCTTCACCCCTCCACTCAAACTCCTCATTTCCATCTCCCACTCATCCTCCCTACCCTTCACATCCCTACCACATTTCCTTCAAGCCCCACCCCCTATATCTTACCTCCACTACACCTTCCTCCTACAACACTTTCCCAGCCAATCCCCATCCCGCAATCCCATGTTTTGTTTAACATTCTGAAGATGGCTTAAGACCCAGGTAAACCCTGTTTTAGAGAAAACATTCAAACTAAGCTATCACAATTTCAGTAAGCGTTTAAGAAATCAAAATTACTTACAAAGCCTTGTTTGAAGAAATCTTTGTGCTTGTCCCCCAGAATAACTGGAAGCCCTCTGAGCACCAGTGTTCGAATGTCAGTTGGCTCTGCAGTCTTTGAACAGTAAAACGAAAAGCACAACTGATAAAGCATATTATTCAATTAATTCAACGATTGACATCTATGCAAATGCGACAAACCTTTGTCTGTTGTAAAAGCTCTGTTAAGACGTGGCCGATGTTCCCCCTCTTTGACCGCAAAATATCGATGAGACAAGAACTGTGTTTATCAATGTTGCCATAGAACTCTTTCTTCAAGTTCTTGCCCACAATTCTGTTGAATTCCATACACACCTGCAGAAAGAACAAAACAGCAGAAAGAAAAACAAAATTAGTAAAATTACAGTGGACAAAGTAGAGGCATGAGTCTATTAAAGTTAAACTTACTTGATCTTCTGTAAAAAGAGCAGGCCAACGTTCTAGCATCTCGGATATGGCAGGTACAGAATCCACCACTTCCTTTCTTCGCAATGCAAACGTTAGTTCCATCTTCTCTTTTACAAGCTGTCCATTCGGTGTTCTCTTTTGCATTTCATTAATAATGTCTTTACGTGCACTCTCAAGGGCTGCCTGATTTAGTCCATCCGGAAAGTTGGGCAAGTAGTTGAGCTCACCTTTTGTTGCCTTTTTAATGTGCAATGCGTCTTTGTGCAAGCAAGGAAATGGCACAGTTCTCATGTGACCTCCATGTTTTCTGCACTCCCACAGCATAACTGCATAACCCTGTGAAACAAAAAAGAAAATTAATCACAACAGTCTATTTTTTCAAACAAGACACTTTTCTAACAAGACATTAATTTAACTAAAATTGTATTTGGATTGAGAAGTGAGCTAAACAAACGAAATGTATTGCTGAAATAACAATTTAGTTCAGTAGTCTTGATAATATTGGGACAACGGGATCAGAAAATGTGTGCTAAAATAAAATATCTCTAAATATTTAGCATAAAAAATACTGGACTTACTGACCACTGAATTCAGTGTATTTGAAAGATCATGCATGCTTTACTATTTGACCTGTGGAAATCATATGTAAAAGACCTAACTAGCAAGCTAACGCACACGTGCTTACAGTAGCTTCCAAATGTGCTTGCAATTACGGACAACGACAATTCAAAACTTGATATAATGATGTAATTTTGTTGACTTGGCACTAGTGGATAACTATTCAATAAAGTATTAATTCGTAGCACTGAGAGGAAACTACCTTGTGCTTTCAGTAATGTCTTCCAAATGAACTGGCTTTTCATCAAAACCTTTAGCTGACAGACCAAAAACGCACATGCTAAGCTTCAACCTAACCACGCCGTATCAGCCTCCTAGCATGCTTAACAATGCTAAACAAGTTAGCGTTAACTCTCGTGGTACTCTGTACATGTAAACAAAGCGCTTCCTGAACATGCAAGTCAGCAATATATTAGGAAAATGTCGACCAAACTTACCAAACAACTTTGCACGTGCGAGTGAGAGCGGCAGTGTTGCCAACTCCTCAGTAAGGAAAGTAGCTATTGGCTGTCCCAAAAGTCGCTAGAAGTCGCTAAATGACGTCATCGCCTAATTTGCATAATTTGCCATTTGCAAATAACTGTAACGGACGCTGTAGGAGAGAGGAATAAGGTCGTGGGAGAGACAAAAGTGAGTAAAAACACCCTAAATATGTTTAGAACTACAAATGTACAAAAATAATTTCAACATTAACAACATTTAATGATTTTAATGCTTTGTCTAGATCCACATTACACACATCAGTTTTGTCCTGTATTGTTAAATGTTATAACAGCAAATGTAATCAAAAGATTGTTATGTAGGGTGAAATTGCTAGCTCTACAACCAACCCTCCTCCTTTATCCGGGCTTGGGACCGGCAAAGTGACCCAAAAGACACACTCTGGCAGAGTTACTTTGGTTTATTTTTGTAAGTTTTTTTTTTTTTCATAGTTTGGCATAACAAATGATTTAATGTGACCCACTACTGAGAGAAAACAGAGTCACGGACAGAGCTGCCGCGGATGGAGTGGGGGGTAGTGGGGGGTAGTGGGGGGTGGCGGTGGTAGGAGTGGCCGGGGAGCTTTGGATGTGTGGTGGTGGTGGAGCTGAAGTTCAGTCTGCAGCAGCCTGAAAACTCCCTGTGCTTTTGAGTCTCCTCTCTCTCTCTCTGCTCCGCCCATAGACTGTAGCTGGGACTGCTGCGCAAGGCTACTGTGAGACTGGCCGCCTGTAAGTGCTTTGGGACGGGGGAGGGGCTCACGTTGAGGACAGCAGAACAATACGTGCTTCACGAGTCTCCAAAACACCAGATAAGTCGCCAAAACACCAGATAAGTCGCCAATAACACCAGAAAAAGTCGCTAGATTTGTCGCTAGTCGCTTTTTTGAAAAAAAGTCGCTATAGGGGTCTGAAAAGTCGCTAAATCTAGCGACAAAGTCGCTAAGTTGGCAACACTGGAGAGCGGTGAGAAAGCAACGCATGTGACTAGCTGGGGAGCCGTGTGCCTGCTGTCTGACGGCGCATGCGCACTTGGGTTAGCTTTAGTCTGGGCTCCGCCCCTCCAAGACAAATTCAAGACATTCTTAGTTATCTCTGCTTAACAAGATCATTACAGTTGATTTTTTGGTTTGTTTAGTAGAATCAACTGATTATATGTATTATTTACATACCTTTTTACAAAACAAAAAAACATTAATTATGATTACTAAAAAGTTTTATTACAATCATTATCAGGGCTAAGAGTGTACTTAGATTACTACTACTAATGTATGTTCATGTATCAATCTAATTTTATTTCACTGCTTTACAACAATCTGCTCAGGGGAGTACTGGTGGAAATTAGCTCTCTTGCTAACGCTTACCAGGTACAATCAAGCCCCGGCAATCCAAGATGGCAGCGTATTCAAATGAACGGTTGTGCTCAGTGGCGCTTTGTGCCGGCACAGGTGCCGAAAAGGTTAGCGGAAGTCGTCTGAAACTCGCAAAGATCCATGGGAAACTCGCCTGTGTTTGGACATTGTCTGGTCCTCCAGGTTCTGCGCAGTGGATGAACTCCCATGATGCGTTGCGCCAAATACGCGTGTGTGGGTCTCACATGGGGTCTCACGCACGTGCACAGAGGGGCTCGGACGTGCTTTGACCAATCAGAGCTGCTGATTAGAGCGGGAGTTAGAGCGAGAGCCAGACGAGCAGAGTTTGTGGCACTAAAGTGTGGATTTAAAGAAAACCCGAAGGATTTAAGAAAAGTGCAGGATGACAAGGGACACTAAAATCCCCACAAAATCCGACCTTTATGAAAGCTGTAGGTTCTCTGTCAGCTGAGGTCGCGCTGTTTTAATTTACATTGAGTTCTATGGGGAAAATTTCTGGGTAGCCCACGTGAATTTAGTCCGGTCTAGTCTGCAGTACCGCGAGCATCCCCCGAGCACGTGAGTTCTTCAGCTACAAGCTAGTAACACCCTATCCAGTTATTATAATAGATCCATGGGTACAATGCATCTCACCTTTTGGGTAATGTTTTTTTTTTGGTATGTGCGTGTTTTCTAATCAAGTCTGTTGTTGTTTCTTTACTATTTTATCGGGCTGTGATCTGGGGGAGCGGGAAAAAGAACTGAAACCAACTGAGGTAGACAGCGAAGCCTTTCTGGATACAGTCGCTACAGTGTTGCACAGCTGCACGAAGAGGAAAGTGCAGGCCGTTCTTGGTAACACAAAAAACCCTCTACATCCAACTCTGAGAAGCTGTGGAAAGTTCCTCCTTGTCTCGGACAGAACACACTTACACTTTCTTTTGTTTCTCAATCTGTGGTAGCTGGATGATATTTACAGAAAGGACAAGAACAGTAATACGGCTGGACTAAACACAAAAGATTAAATGTATAGATCTCAAATGTACTAAATATGTGATAATGAACCACAGATATCAAAGATGATCACATGAGAGAAGGAAGAAACATGTTATTTCTTCGTTGCAATTGTATAATGATAATTTCGGTACCTAGTAAGTAAGTAAGTAAGTAAGCTTTATTTATATACCGCCTTTCACAGACCAGAGTCACAAAGCGGTTTACAATTGTTATTTAACTTTGTTGAGCTTTAAGAACTATGGAAAACCAGGCCAGAATTCTGACTCCAATTTTAAATGTGTCCATCGTATCAATGTTACAGTGAAATGTGACATGTATAAGCTGCTGACCGGCTGCCTCTGTGTGCAGCTCACAGAGAGGTGTCCGGAGAAGGCCAGCGAGATTCAGGACAACAGCCAAGTCAATACATTTACATTTATTCTTTTATCGCTTTAAATCACAGCAGTAGTTATCTCAGAGGACTTTACAAAGCTGTGGAATGTCAACACAGATCAGAAAATCAAACAGTTCAAACACAAAAAATACGGAACACATGGTATTGGTCCATAGGGAGAGACCAATGTCCGTGAATGTTGATAAATGTCATACATGTTGTAGAATGTTAAAGTGTCCTGGATCATCACCACAGTCCTGTAGTTAGACACGAACTGTCCAACAGACCCTCCTGCATTGGCAAGGAATGACTCTAAAACCCAGCCAACCATCCAACTTGAATCTATCTTAACTCTATTAAAATATTTTTCAATCTCCTGTGTGTCCTGAGTCTTTTTAAATCTATTTTGAATTGTTTGACAAATGTAAATCAAGCTGTCGTATGGGCTTGAAAGATTGGGTAAGTTGGGCGTTGTTGGAGGGGAACACAAACCGTTTTGAATGCATAGGATTTGAATAGAGCTCAATCTGCATCAGCCTCGAGCAGATACCGCGCCTGGACATGTTTGGTCCCAATGCAAAACCTGCACATGCTTAGCTCTGGTTCAACAGATCGCCACAATGGCAAGGAAAGGCAAGTTTATTTATATAGCACAATTCATACACAAGGCAATTCAAAGTGCTGAACAAAACAAGAAAGCATTCAAATCATAAATAATCACAGAACATTAAAAAGAATGGCTGAGTGGATAGCTCTCTCGCTTCTCAGCAAGGAAGTCCTGAGTTCGAATTCCGGTCGGAACAGGGCCTTTCTGAGGGGAGTTTGCATGTTCTACCTGTGTCTGCGTAGGTTTCCTCCGGGTACTCCAGTTTCCCTTACCACTAAAAATATAGTGGCATGCGCCGCCCATCTCTGTGTGGAGTGAGAGACAAATGCCCACAATTTTAAACCGCTTTGTTACTCTGGTCTGTGAAAGGCGGTATATTAATAAACTTACTTAGAGCAGGACTAAAGTAGGTCTTAAGCAGAACTAAAGTAGGTCTAAAGCCAGACTAAAACAGGACTAAACTCGGGGTAGAGCGAGATTAGAGCAGGTCTAAAGCAGGACTAAACTTGAGATGGAGCAGGATTAAAGCAGGTCTAAACTTGAGATGGAGCAGGACTAAAGCAGGACTAAACTTGAGATAGAGCAGGAATATAGCAGGTCTAAAGCTGGACTAAACTTGAGATGGAACAGGACTAAAGCAGGACTAAACTTGAGATAGAGCAGGACTAAAGCAGGTCTAAAGCAGGACTAAACTTGAGATGGAGCAGGACTAAAGCAGGACTAAACTTGAGATGGAGCAGGACTAAAGCAGGTCTAAAGCAGGACTAAACTTGAGATGGAGCAGGACTAAAGCAGGACTAAACTTGAGATGGAGAAGGACTAAAGCAGGACTAAACTTGAGATGGAGCAGGACTAAAGCAGGACTAAACTTGAGATGGAGCAGGACTAAAGCAGGACTAAACTTGAGATGGAGCAGGACTAAAGCAGGACTAAAGCAGGACTAAACTTGAGATGGAGCAGGACTAAAGCAGGTCTAAAGCAGGTCTCTCCATTGCCGGACTTCTCTCCACACTCTCCTCTCCACAGATGTAAATATGAGGTGATGTATGTATCCACAGCTCTACAGGCCGCTTATATAAATGCTAATGCGAGTGCTTCCATATTCCGTGCTGCCTTAAGCGCGTCCCCTTCGTCTTTTGGGACCTCCTGTTTGTTTTGGAGCGCAGACCAATCCGCCAGGTCCCGCCAGGCTCGCGCTACCGGCTAGGAGAGTCTCAGAGGAGCGCAAATGGACGGGGGCGCGAGCATAAGCGCATAATGGTGGATCAGACCTGGATTTAAAGCCGCGCACCGGTCTGGACTTGGCTTTTAGAGGAGAGCGGAGAGGGCGGATAATGGCATAAACAAGTTCACAAGTGGCATTAGGCTTTGGACGCACGCAAGCTGATTACCGTGCGCAGCGTTAAAGCCACTGCTGTATGATAACTTATGAATTAAACAAGATGTACCGTGCATGTACCTGCTGTACTTAATATCTCAGCGTTTTGTATGGACAGAGCATCGGCCACCATGGCTCAGACCCCTGGGGCCCTAGACCTTTAAACCAGCATCACAGAACTGTTTCTAAGTGACTGAGTTCACTGAGATACTTGTTGATCCGTTTTTGTTTTAGGATCCCAAATGGCACCAGACTCCAAAAACAACTATGTGGCATTAGTTTAAGAATGATAAGTGGACGGTGGTGATCATCCAGGACGCACGACATTCATGGACATTGGTCATCTAACACTTATGGACCAACTGTTTGATTCTCTGATCTGTGTTGGCAAATTTTACGGTTTTGTAAAGTCCTCTCAGATAACTACTGTCGTGATTTAGGGGCTTTTGAAAAATATATTGAATTGGGTCATGTTGGTGCCATATGAACCGACCCGGGCTCTGAGGAGCACAGGAGGTAGCTTCTTGCTGGTTCCAAGAGTCAGAACTAGACATGGGGAGGCAGCGTTTCAGATTTATGCTGCTAGAGGACTGGGTTGGCGTCGCTGGCACCGCCCTAAGTTGGTTTAGGTCTTACCTTGAAGACAGGAAGTACTTTGTGGAGATTGGAAACTGTGTCTCAGATCATATGGCCCTGACCTGTGGAGTCCCACAGGGGTCGATCCTGGGACCTCTTCTGTTCAATCTCTACATGCTGCCTTTAGGTCAGTTAATACGCAGAAACAAAGTTTCCTATCATAACTATGCAGACGACACTCAGATCTATGTCTCACTGACTGCAGGAGAACATGGACCAGTGGACTCACTCCTTCACTGTATCCAACAGATCAGTGAGTGGACGCAAAACAACTTCCTTCAGCTAAACGCAGACAAAACTGAAATGATTGTCTTTGGTCCCCAGAAACAAAGAGAGAGCGTCATCTGTCATCTACAGTCTCTCTCCCTAAAACCTTCAAACAAGGTCAGAAATCTAGGGGTAATACTGGACTCAGACTTAAATTTTAATAGCCACATCAAATCAGTAACATCAGCAGCTTTTTACCATCTAAAAAACATTGCCAGGATCAAAAACATAGTGTCTAAAGCAGACTTGGAGATTCTTATCCATGCATTTGTCTCCAGTAGGTTAGACTACTGCAATGGCCTGCTCACAGGTCTGTCCAAACAGGCTGTAAAACAGCTGCAGTACATTCAAAATGCAGCAGCCCGAGTCCTGACTAGAACCAGGAAGTACGACCACATTAGTCCGGTCCTCAGGTCTCTGCACTGGCTTCCTGTGGCTCAGAGAATAGACTTTAAAACAGCTCTGCTTGTGTACAAGTCTCTCCATAGCCTCGCACCAAAATATATTAGTGACATGTTAGTCCCATATGAACCAGCCCGGACTCTGAGGAGCACAGGGACTGGACTCCTGTTAGTGCCCAGAGTCAGAACTAAACATGGGGAGGCTGCTTTTCAGTAAGAAGAGGACACACTCTCTAAGTCAAAGTTCTCAAAAACTACCAGTCTGTTCAAAGACATCATTGCCAGAACATGTGAGGACATTTCCTTGTGGATCATGCACTCATTGCTCTCAAATAACCAAATGCAAATTATTCAAATGTTCCTCAGGACAAAAAACACGCCTTTGCAAACAATATGCCAATTGCAAAACGGTGTATATGGTTTACCACCGAGCCTTCTGAACCCTGAGGACCGGGCCTTCTGAACCTTGAGGACCGGGCCTTCTGAACCCTGAGCACCGGGCCTTCTGAACCCTGAGGACCGGGCCTTCTAAACCCTGAGGACCAGGTCTTCTGAACCCTGAGGACCGGACCTTCTGAACCCTGAGGACCGGGCCTTCTGAACCCTGAGGACCGGGCCTTCTGAACCCTGAGGACCGGGCCTTCTGAACCCTGAGGACCGGGCCTTCGGAACCCTGAGGACCGGGCCTTCTGAACCCTGAGGACTGGGCCTTCTAAACCCTGAGGACCGAGTCTGAACCCTGAGGACCGAGACTGAACCCCGAGGACAGAGCCCTCTGAACCCTGAAGACCAGGTCTTCTGAACCCTGAGGACCGGGCCTTCTGAACCCTGAGGACTGGGCCTTCTAAATCCTGAGGACCGAGTCTGAACCCTGAGGACCGAGACTGAACCCCGAGGACAGAGCCCTCTGAACCCTGAAGACCAGGTCTTCTGAACCCTGAGGACCGGACCTTCTGAACCCTGAGGACCGGGCCTTCTGAACCCTGAGGACCGGGCCTTCTGAACCCTGAGGACCGGGCCTTCTGAACCCTGAGGACCGGGCCTTCGGAACCCTGAGGACCGGGCCTTCTGAACCCTGAGGACCGGGCCTTCTGAACCCTGAGGACCGGGCCGGACCGGGCCTTCTGAACTCTGAGGACCGAGACTGAACCCTGAACAACACTTAAGAGCGTCTTTGAGTGTCCAAAAGGTGAAATAAAAGTACAATGTATTATTATTATTATTATTATTATTATTGCTGTCATTACAGGATGTTATTTGTTGTATGACGGTACACCATGTCTTATGTGTATATTTTTGATAATGTCTAAAGAGCCATTTCCACAGGCTCGACTCCCGGGCTCGCTTGAAACACAAACATTCAAGATTTTTTTTGCCATTTGCAGTAAAACCAAATTAGAAAAACTGTGCAAATTACCCCAGTGTGCACCAGATCGCACACACCAGAGCTCTTGCCACACAATGTATACACTTGTTGACTGTTTATTTGTGTGAAAATCAAAGTAAAAGAAGTACGAGGCGACAGATGCATGTTCCAAAGCGAGTCCAGATCAAATACACTGTTCCTAATCCAAGTAGAGATACACTTCTTTTTGCAGTGTGTGTAAATGTATGATTTGTGAAACACTGTCACATCCCCCTCAGTGAGCGGCTGCCGGCGTTCCCTTGAGCCAAACACACCTGCAGCCCATTAGCCCCGACAGCTATAGATGGAGTGGAGCATACAGCTGTCCTGGGGAGGAAGACTATTCAGGGACTAAACCAGGTCTGAGCCAGGACTGAACCAGGTCTGAGCCAGGACTGAACCAGGACTAAACCAGGTCTGAGCCAGGACTGAACCAGATCTGAGCCAGGATTGAACCAGGACTGAACCAGGACTAAACCAGGACTAAACCAGGTCTGAGCCAGGACTGAGGCAGGACTAAAACAGGTCTGAGCCAGGACTGAACCAGGACTAAACCAGATCTGAGCCAGGACTAAACCAGGACTGAAGCAGGGCTAAACCAGGACTGAACCAGGACTGAAGCAGGACTAAACTTGAGTATCAACATCTGGAGACGAGTCCCGAGTCACATCACTTCTCCCCCTTTTCCAAGTGGCTTTGCAGGATGGGTCAAAGGGGAAATTAAAGGATAATATAACTTCACTTGAAGCAGGACTGGAGCAGGACTGAAACAGAACTGGAGCAGGACTGAAACAGAACTGGAGCAGGACTGAAACAGGACTGGAGCAGGACTGACCGAAGCAGGACTGGAGCAGGACTGAAGCAGGACTGGAGCAGGACTGAAACAGGACTGGAGCAGGACTGACCGAAGCAGGACTGGAGCAGGACTGAAGCAGGACTGGAGCAGGACTGAAACAGGACTGGAGCAGGACTGAAACAGGACTGGAGCAGGACTGAAACAGGACTGGAGCAGGACTGACCGAAGCAGGACTGGAGCAGGACTGAAGCAGGACTGGAGCAGGACTGAAACAGGACTGGAGCAGGACTGACCGAAGCAGGACTGGAGCAGGACTGAAGCAGGACTGGAGCAGGACTGAAACAGGACTGGAGCAGGACTGAAACAGAACTGGAGCAGGACTGACCGAAGCAGGACTGGAGCAGGACTAAACGATACTTATATTAATAAAGAACAGAAGAGTGTGACCCGGGGCTCAGAATGTCCTCACATGAGCACCTGTCCCACTGCTAGCATGTTAGCATGTTTGCATGTTAGCATATGGGTGGATCCTTCATGGTTTTGGGGCTCAGGTAAAAGGAAAAATCGATTTAACAATAGAACTCCCAGATCAGTCAATTTGACAGATTTTAGTTTTGAAAATGTAGTTAGATCATATAATTTTTTTACTTTTTCTGTTTATCTATGTTGTTAATTAATAAGTAATTATTTTTATGAAATCTTTTAATTTTGAAACGGAGTAGAGAAGAAGAGAAGGGCAAGCACTAGTAACCATAGCAATAACAACAACGCAATCTGGTAGCATGTTAACGCTAGCATCAGCCTTTCCACAAAGGCTAAAACTGGTAAATTTGCCTTTCCACAAATTTACCAGTTTCAGCACTTATGAAAAGTGAGTAAAGAAAAATTTGAATAAAACTGATGGTAAACTCACTAACTTTCATTGATCTAAATGGGAGCAGTCACAATGACGGCTCTGGAGTCCTATTGTTAATGAAATTCCCAAAAAATATGGAAGGTCCTGTTTTTTTGTGCACTTTTCCTCTTGACAAGTTCAGGCGCAGCTCAGATGAAGTTAGCAATCAGCTTCTCCCCTCCAGCGAAATGCTGCCAAAGGTCTCCAACATGTACTCTCTCTGAAACAACGGTGAGTGCGTAAATGACCAGGGAACACTCCTGTTACACGGCCAAACGCTGAGAAGAGTATATTTAGCATGTGATGTCCCCTTTAATACAGCTCTGTGGTGTACGTTATGCAGCCGAAGACATGACCGTGGCTCAGTCTGGACCGGTGCGCGGCCTCTCGGTACGTTTGGCTGCAGCCGGAGTTGGACCGTGTCGCGGTGAGGCATGTGGTTTGGATCATGGTGGAGCAGGAAACACTCACAGCCAAGCGTAACACAGCACTTCCTCTGGGCCACAAATCATAAAGTCACACAAACGCGCCGATATATGAGCCGAGGAAATGACACAAGCACTCCGCTACGAGCGACGCTTCAACACTGCCGGGATTTGGGCAAAAGACCAGGATTTGCTCGAGTACAAGTGTCTCCGTGGCCTCAGACCGAAGTACATCCGGGACATGTTAGTGTTAATGAACTGAGTCGGACTCTGAGGAGCACAGGAACTGGTCTCCTGCTGGAACTCTGAGGAGCACAGGGACTGGCCTCCTGCTGGAACTCTGAGGAGCACAGGGACTGGCCTCCTGCTGGAACTCTGAGGAGCACAGGGACTGGCCTCCTGCTGGGACTCTGAGGAGCACAGGGACTGGCCTCCTGCGGGGACTCTGAGGAGCACAGGGACTGGCCTCCTGCTGGGACTCTGAGGAGCACAGGGACTGGCCTCCTGCTGGGACTCTGAGGAGCACAGGGACTGGCCTCCTGCTGGGACTCTGAGGAGCACAGGGACTGGCCTCCTGCTGGAACTCTGAGGAGCACAGGGACTGGCCTCCTGCTGGGACTCTGAGGAGCACAGGGACTGGCCTCCTGCTGGAACTCTGAGGAGCACAGGGACTGGCCTCCTGCTGGGACTCTGAGGAGCACAGGGACTGGCCTCCTGCTGGGACTCTGAGGAGCACAGGGACTGGCCTCCTGCTGGGACTCTGTGGAGCAAAGGGACTGGCCTCCTGCTGGGACTCTGAGGAGCACAGGGACTGGCCTCCTGCTGGGACTCTGAGGAGCACAGGGACTGGCCTCCTGCTGGGACTCTGAGGAGCACAGGGACTGGCCTCCTGCTGGGACTCTGAGGAGCACAGGGACTTGCCTCCTGCTGGGACTCTGAGGGGCACATGGACTGGCCTCCTGCTGGGACTCTGAGGAGCACAGGGACTGGCCTCCTGCTGGGACTCTGAGGAGCACAGGGACTGGCCTCCTGCTGGGACTCTGAGGGGCACATGGTCGGGTCTTCTGCTGGGACTCTGTGGAGCAAAGGGACTGGCCTCCTGCTGGGACTCTGAGGAGCACAGGGACTTGCCCTCCTGCTGGGACTCTGAGGAGCACAGGGACTGGTCTCCTGCTGGGACTCTGAGGAGCACAGGGACTGGCCTCCTGCTGGGACTCTGAGGAGCACAGGGACTGGCCTCCTGCTGGGACTCTGAGGAGCACAGGGACTGGCCTCCTGCTGGGACTCTGAGGAGCACAGGGACTGGCCTCCTGCTGGGACTCTGAGGGGCACATGGTCGGGTCTTCTGCTGGGACTCTGTGGAGCAAAGGGACTGGCCTCCTGCTGGGACTCTGAGGAGCACAGGGACTTGCCTCCTGCTGGGACTCTGAGGAGCACAGGGACTGGCCTCCTGCTGGGACTCTGAGGAGCACAGGGACTGGCCTCCTGCTGGGACTCTGAGGAGCACAGGGACTGGCCTCCTGCTGGGACTCTGAGGAGCACAGGGACTGGCCTCCTGCTGGGACTCTGAGGAGCACAGGGACTGGCCTCCTGCTGGGACTCTGAGGAGCACAGGGACTGGCCTACTGCTTTTGTGCGGCACGGTGGCTGAGTGGATAGCACTCTCACCTCTCAGCAAGAAGGTCCTTGGTTCGAATCCCGGCCGGACAAGGGCCTTTCTGAGTGGAGTTTGCATGTTCTCCCCGTGTCTGCGTACGTTTCCTCCGGGTACTCCGGTTTCCCCTACCACTAAAAATATGTACAATAGTTCTGGCATGCGCCTCCTGTTCGGCGACCCCGCTCCCATCTCTGTGTGGAGTGAGAGACAAGTGCCCAAAAATAACCATTGTAAACCGCTTTGTGACTCTGGTCTGTGAAAGGCGGTATATAAATAAAGATTACTTACTTACTTACTTACTTTTGTCCAGAATCAAAACTAAACATGGAGGCAGGATTTCAGATTTATGCAGCTATAATCTAAAAGTCTTCCTGAAAACATGAGATCGACTTCTTCTCTCATCTTGTTTTGTTTATCCCTTTGAATTGCTTTGCGTATAATCTGTGCTAAACAAATAAACTTGCCTTGCCTTGACTCTGGCTGTGATAGACTTACATGTAAATATTGGACATGTAAAAATCTCACATTACACCTGTATTCAAATACTGGCTCCGGTTCAGGCCTGGATTCACTTCAAAATCCTTCTGTCTGCTTCTAAAGGCTCTGGCTGGTTCCCCGTACGAGGCTGAAGACAGGACCTGTTTATATTCCATTATGCTCCTTGTAAATGGAGTGCTCTGCTTCCTGACATCACTGAGCTCATCCAAGAAGAAGCAAGATTCACTTTAGTTTAGTTTTTGATGCTTAGCGTTGTCCAGTGTTGGGGACAGAACAAATGGGAACACTATTTTTGAGCAGCTGTATTTGCCTCTGCTTAGACTGCTGCCCCTGCGACCCGGCAACGGATGAAGCGGAGGAAAATGGATGGATGAAAGGATGTGGTTGAAATGCACTAGTTTGTTTTGGTGGTATTCAGTAAACAGCTGCTTAAAAACAAACAAGGCAAATGTATTTTAATATTGGATGATCATAGGCAGCACGGTGGCTGAGTGGATTCTCGCTTCTCAGCAAAAAGGTTCTGGGTTCGAATTCCGGAACACTGCCTTTCTGAGCGGAGTTTGCATGTTCTACCCGTGTCTGCGTAGGTTTCCTCCAGGTACTCCGGTTTCCCCTACCACTAAAAACATGTGCAATAGTTCAGGGTGAATGAGTGTGTGTTTGTGAGTGTGAATGTGGGACAATGGATGCTAATTAGCCCAACACTACAATCCAGAGTGATGTGTTCATGAACATGTACTGTCCCAACCAAATAAACAACAAATAAATGCAACTTCGAGAAGATATTACACACAAACAAATTAAAATGTCTCATAAATCATAAACATTAAAATAACACAGGGCATTAAAAACAAACATTTAGATCACATGGAACTTAAAAAAATAAATACACTTGAAGAAAGACAGAGGCTTTTGAGCAGCACAGTAACTGCAGACCAAAACCATTTCAACTCAGAATTGGATAAATTGCTTTCAACACTTTGGGTTTAAAAAGTTTCACAACCATATGTTAGCTGCGCATACAACTGATTCTATTTTGTACTACATATTACTTTTATCTCTCTTTTTAAACCCACATTTCAATGAGAGTTGTCGACCCCATACGTTTATGCTGCTCTGTTTTAGTATTAGATAATTGTATATCTATTTACAAGTTTATGCATTATGATCTGTGTTTTTAAACTTCTATTATGAAGCACTTTGAATTGCCTTGTACGTAAATTGTGCTATACAATTAAATGATTGATTGATTGACATTAAAATGTTGTGATCATTACTCACCAGCCCATAACCACTTTTCAATCTCTTGTAATAATGTGTGTTTTTATTTCCTCCTGCAGTTTCAATGGGATTTCCAAAATACTCCATATTGTCAGTCCCATGTGGTATTTTTTATTTTGTTTTTAACAGTATAAAAGAGCAAACATACAATTCTAACAATGATTCTTCTTGGTCCAGAGAGGTTCAGGAGTATATATTTGGCCTGGTCCAGAGTGGTTCAGGAGTATATATTTGGCCTGGTCCAGAGTGGTTCAGGAGTATATATTTGGCCTGGTCCAGAGTGGTTCAGGAGTATATATTTGGCCTGGTCCAGAGTGGTTCAGGAGTATATATTTGGTCTGGTCCAGAGTGGTTCAGGAGTACTGTATATTTGGCCTGGTCCAGAGTGGTTCAGGAGTATATATTTGGCCTGGTCCAGAGTGGTTCCGGAGTATATATTTGGCCTGGTCCAGAGTGGTTTAGGAGTATATATTTGGCCTGGTCCAGAGTGGTTCAGGAGTATATATTTGGTCTGGTCCAGAGTGGTTCAGGAGTATATATTTGGCCTGGTCCAGAGTGGTTCAGGAATATATATTTGGCATGGTCCAGAGTGGTTCAGGAGTACTGTATATTTGGCCTGGTCCAGAGTGGTTTAGGAGTATATATTTGGCCTGGTCCAGAGTGGTTCAGGAGTATATATTTGGCCTGGTCCAGAGTGGTTCAGGAGTACTGTATATTTGGCCTGGTCCAGAGTGGTTCAGGAGTATATATTTGGCCTGGTCCAGAGTGGTTCAGGAGTACTGTATATTTTGCCTGGTCCAGAGTGGTTCAGGAGTATATATTTGGTCTGGTCCAGAGTGGTTCAGGAGTACTGTATATTTGGCCTGGTCCAGAGTGGTTCAGGAGTATATATTTGGCCTGGTCCAGAGTGGTTCCGGAGTATATATTTGGCCTGGTCCAGAGTGGTTTAGGAGTATATATTTGGCCTGGTCCAGAGTGGTTCAGGAGTATATATTTGGTCTGGTCCAGAGTGGTTCAGGAGTATATATTTGGCCTGGTCCAGAGTGGTTCAGGAGTATATATTTGGCCTGGTTCCGAGTGGTTCAGGAGTACTGTGTATTTGGCCTGGTCCAGAGTGGTTCAGGAGTATATATTTGGCCTGGTCCAGAGTGGTTCAGGAGTATATATTTGGCCTGGTTCCGAGTGGTTCAGGAGTACTGTATATTTGGCCTGGTCCAGAGTGGTTCAGGAGTGTATATTTGGCCTGGTCCAGAGTGGTTCAGGAGTGTATATTTGGCCTGATCCAGAGTGGTTCAGGAGTATATATTTGGCCTGGTCCAGAGTGGTTCAGGAGCGTAGTCACACAGTAGAAGGCGGTCTGAGCCGTGACACTGAAGACAGACGGGATTTAATTTCACATTAGTTTGTCCAACACATGTTCTCATTAAAACACCATTAAAGAGACAAGCCACCCTGCGGGACCACAAACACATGAGGACCAAAGCAGGACCAAAGCAGGACTAAAGCAGGACTAAAGCAGGACTAAAGCAGGACTAAAGCAGGACTACCTCAGGACTAAATGAGATCTACTTCAAGACTAAATCAGGACT